TAAAAGACCTGCAATAGTGTTCAGGATAGTTAGGTCTTTACGTTGTAACTATGTTGTGTATTGATTATGACATCCTTAGAGTTTTATTATTTTGAAACAAACATCTGTACTAAAAAATGTTTTAATATACTGGATTTTCCGCAAATAAATATGTTATGGTTTTTAAAGCGTAAAGAAAAAAAACTGGCTCTGGAAAATAGGGGATGCCACATATGTTGACCATAAATAAACTTTAACATGCATTGATTTCCTTTGACACAAGATTCACAGAACTTTATCTTTCTAGTAATTTCACCCTCAGGTAATCCATGCTTACTCAATATCGAATTTCCCTTCTTGCTTATGTTACCCAATCGACGATGCCACAACTCTGTTTTTTCATCGCGTAGCTCCAAAGATTAAGATACAATCACCATCCTTGCCACCGGAGTGCCTTCTAGAAAATAAATTCCATGTAGTAGTTTATCTTTCATTAACACGAGAACACCCATTGAGACTTTTACCCAATCATCTTCACCGTAGTATTTGAGTCCATGTTTAGCAAAAGATCCAAGAGAAATTAAATATTCCCGAAAATCAGAACATACCAGCAATTTATATTTTTGACCATATTGTCATGTATTTTGATATGCACTGTGTCACTAACTTTGAGACGCCATATCTCAACATTACTCGATATTACCTTACCATTCTATCCGTTAAAGAAAACAAATAAATCGCATGAAAATGTCATATGATGAGATGCATATGTGTCCAAGACCTAAGTGTTTGTATAATCAACCGTATATATAGTCGAAACATCATATATACATGTCTCATTTATCAAAATTGTATTGAACTAGAGAAACACTACCACTGTTGCTTACTTCAACCTTATTGTTTCCGTTTTTGTGTTGTGGACGATATGCTTTAATATACCCCTTGTTCTTTACACTAGTAACATTAAACCTTAGTGGAAGCTTTTCACTTAAAACATAACTTTCCCTATTTACACCTTCTATTTCTATGTTGTATCCCTGCTTACAAAATGACCTAAATTAAAACCCTCTTCACTACCATAAACCATACGTTTTAATTCCTTGGACAACAAGGCATCCTTCACGTCATTAACATTCATCATTGTTCTACCATACATTATGATATCAACCAAATTCTCATATGAATTCGACAAATAACACAATAGAATAAGAGTTTGATCATCATCTTCAATTTTAACTTCAATGCCTTGTAAATCATGAATAATGCAATTATAATTGTCCATATGATCTTTTACATGGGTACTATCTATCATCAGAGCATATACAAATATTGCTTCTAATATAGTTGATTAGTGAGAGAGTTATTTTGATACGTGTCACAAAGTTTCTCCCATAACCCATAATTAGTCGTTTGATCCACAACCTCATGTAGCGCTTCATCAATTAAACAGAATAGAATTGCATTGTGCGCTTTTTCCATAATATTTGATTTCGCATCTGTCGTCATCTCATTTGGTAGTTTCCCATCTCTTTCCAATGTTGTTGCACAACCTGTTGAACCAAAAAGGGTCTTCATCTTCACCTTCCACAATATGAAGTCATTCAGTCCACTGAACTTCTCCAAATCAAACCTGTAAGAGGACATCCTTCAAACATGATATATAGCCATTTGACACAGAGAATTAATGTGGTTCGGTCGGCGTGACCTTTATCCACGTGCAGGAACCAGAGAACTCTTTCTATTTGTTGATTGTTTAAAGTGATACAGTAGGAACCCTAACTACAAATATTTATAACTGTAAAACTGTAACAACTATAGGTTCTAGCCCATATATAAGAAAGTTTGGGGTAACAAAACAGGTCTGTAGCATAACGCTACTCAGCCTACTCCAAACATGTATCCCTTCAAAATTATTGTTCAGGTTTCTTAACTTTATTTTGGGTCATGTTATTTGTTTGGATAATCAAATTCCAAGCCACACTAACAGTTTATCTAGAAGTTGTTTTCATGTTTATTGTTCTTTCTTTTAAAGTTTGTTATCTGCTTTTAGTGAAAATTTGGAGACTGCTCGAGAGTCATATGTTTATAGATATAATAAGGCCAATGAGCAGCGACATGCTAACTACTCTATAAAAATAACGATGAGTAATGAGATGAAGAACGCCAAAATATGATAACACATTAAGAAAACTAACAAGTGGGAGTAACAAAATTGCCTTTAAAAGTAATTATGTAGGCTCACATGATCCACTTTAATGGATACTTTATATATTGATGACAACCAAGTAATGTTATTAATACGCAAACTATTGTTGAATGACTGCTAATGTAGTTTAAAGGACAATAAATATTGAAAGGGTTTATAGGTTATATAGGTTATATCTACAAAGATCAAAGGCGTAACTTACACTTACAAAGATCAATACGTAACTTACACTTTATAATTAATAAATAACAAAGCAACCATTAAACTTTTACTTATATTCTTTTTTAGGAAAGTGAGTGCCGGGGGAACAAAGAGAATATACACTGATTAGAACAAAAGAAAACAATTCTCACTATTTAAAATCTATTGAACTATCGTTTAAATAGTATCTTAAAACAAGTTAATTAGTCGAGTTATATGCTACCAAAAGACGTTAAGAAAACAAACAAAAGACAAGCTGTTATTTTTTTTGGTTGGTAACCAATCAAAGTTTATGGTTTAATATTTTTCTAGGCACTATCACTCGCAAGAACAAATTAATTGTTTATTAGGTATCTATAAAAAACTATATTTTGGTTTAAAATTCTTATGTATATTACATTAGAACATTTAATATGTAACAGTATCCTTCATTTGTTTTATAAAATTATCAACATTACGATAACGTCAAACAAGAAGGGAATATTATTTTACTACAGGAGAAAATGAATAGTATATTGATCGAGACAATTTTACATATTGTTTCCACAAATGGCGCACCAAACCGCTACTCTCACATGCTTCATACCAACTTTATTTCCAAATTCCAATTATTGCGTTAGCCAATCTAGAGACATTATCATCATAACCTAAAAAAGAACATAATGACATTCAAAAATGATAGCAACAGTTTTTTTCCAACACAATATAGAAAATAAAACAGTATTTCACTTTTTTTTTTTTGTCAGTTTCTTTGTATTACGATGGATGGTTATTTTCATAAAAGACCCTATATTTTGGCTTTTTTTTCTTTTCAGACCTAAAACTTTTTTCTTTTCCGAAAAAGACTCAATTTTTATGTGTTACTTGTTATTTCAGACCCTAGCAGGTCACCAATAGGTAAATTAGGTATTTTTGTTTCATAAAAGACTCTATATTTTGTAGTTGTTTCCATTTTAGATCTAAAATGTTTTTTTTTTTAAATAAACTCAACTTTAAAATTTGTTATAATCTTCAAGACCAAATATATAAGGTACTTTCTTAACTACACCGAAAAAGAAAGTATACATGTATACACTAAAAAATGTTATCTAATCTATTATATTTTGAGCGAATATAACCTAAAAGAAATGCAAAATTTTATTTTTGTCTAAAAGATATACTAAAATTTTATCTAGGATATATATTATATCATTAAACTTGATATTTTGTTTATAGAAAATGTTATTATTACCGCTAATAAAAAGTTTGATGTTAATTTTGATATTTTTGGATAACATGGATAATACATGGTTAAGAAAAATCTTTTAGCATAATAACAATTTTTTTTATTTATAGAAAAAAAAATATCATATCATTTAACAAACTGTATACAAAATAATTTTTTTAGTTTGTCTATTATACTTATTTGGTGAGTTTGGACATATTTCCCTCTCTCACTTTTCTATATTATTTTTTTGGCCGAATTTTTAATTAATTTTTTTAGAACAGTTAACAAACGCACTCACTATCATACTCCTAAACCAAAGCCATAGAATATTTTGTAGCATTAGCCCATTATTAAATAATATGTTATAATTATATCAAATAAATACATAAAAATATTAATCATAAACATTCGTATTAGTTTTGTTTAGATATATGAGATTCAAGTTTAAGACTTCCTTAAAAAATGTTAACATCACATATGAATACATAAAACTATATTTTGGGAATGAAACCATTTGAGCATAAGTTGAAATCCAAATAACAAGAATGATATCGCACACTTAAATATCAAAATACAATGGTTGACATTATTAACAATGGTTGGAATGTGGTGAATGAGCAAAACGGACAAAACTATAAATTTTGTTGTAGAGAAAAGAAAATTGAATAGTTGGCCTACTACCTCATTTTATTAATCTATCTTATGTATACATTGTGTTTAGATCAATACATGGTGTTTGTATATCACTGTTATTGATTCTTAAGGATAATCATAATAATTACCAAAATAAAATTTAGGATTTTATTTTAATTTGAAAGGATATAATCACGTTTTTATGCATGAACGAAGTTAAGCTTCATTAAATCGGTGTAGTTAAGTACCTTATACAACTAGTGTTAAAGGTTGTAACCAATTTTAAAGTTGAGTTTATTTTGAAATAATAAAAAAAACATTTTAGGTCTAAACTGGAAAAATGTACAAAATTTAGGGTTTTTTATGAAATGAAAATACTTAATTTACCTTTTGGTAACCTGCTAAGGTCTAAAATAACAATTAATAGGTAAAAGTTTGGTCTTTTTCGAAAAAGAAAAAAAATTTAGGTCTAAAAGGAAAAAAAATCAAAATATAGGTTCTTTTATGAAAATAACACCACGATAAAACCAAAAATATTAAGATATTTTCAATGTAATATAAATTTTTTTAAAAAGATTCGAGTAAATGCATGTTTGGCCCCGAACGTTTACCAAGTGTACACCTTTGAACCAAAGTTTTCATTTGGTACAATGATGGCCCCTAACACAAACTAAATTAGCACATTTGGTCCCTAATCTAACGATCTTTATATTATAGACTTTTTCACAATATCCAATGGTAGAATGATTAAATAAAGCATTACAACATACAATATGTATATGTTTGATTAAAGTACAAGATCCTCATCCAACCTTCTTACCTTCTCACTTCACAAAGAGAGTATGTAAAGTGCCAATTTCAACAATATAGACAACCAACTTACAAACTTCACTAAATATATCAATCCACAAACATCACAACCCCAACAATCACACACTCAAAACATCTAATCAGATTCATCCTCAGATGTAACCTCAGATTCTTCATCATCTTCATCCTCATCTTCTTCATCATCATCATCATCAATCTTGACAGGTTTATTACTAGAAACCATTTTTGACAACGCTGCAGATTTACTCGCTCTTTGTGATCGAACACTCATCATCACAGGATTCACAGGAACAACAGTGTCGGGGACGGTTTCATCCTCATCAGAAGACGATGACACCTTTTCACGTGCCCGTCTCCGGGCCCGCACCGGCTTTGTTGACCTCGGGACAGGTGTCGGCTCCACGTCCATCGGTGACTCATCACCATCGATACTCACTTGTACATCCAACTTTTCTGTTAAACACATAAAAATTGAATTACAAGTGAATTACAGTTTCAGTCCCTGAGTGTACCGATTTTTGCAATTTTGGTCCCAAAAATGTAATTTCATAAACATTATGCTTAATAAAAAAAATTACCTAACAAAATATTAGCTTGATCCACAGGCAATGGTTCATCCGGGGTTTTATCTAACGACTTTAACTGGTCAACCATTTGTTTGACTTCCTTTAAAGTTTCTTTATCCGATGAAACAGATTCAGCAACTCGATTCAAAAGCTTCCTCATTAACTTTATCGCTATTTGTTCTAATCCCCTAAATCGAACCAATACAAGAACTTTACAAATAGCTGAAACATAAGCTTTTTCTGCAGGACTTTTCTTCTTCTGAAAACTCAAAACCTGTACACAAAAAAAAAAAAAAAAATCAATTATCAAATTCACAAACTTTTACATTGAATGTATCGACTGATTTTTTACCTCAGCTATGATATGTATAGCAAGGCCTTCTTCTCCATAGTCAAAATCATCAGAAGAATCGGTTGACTCGTTGACTTTTTTGTCTATCTCCTTTGGATAAAGTGGAGCCTGTAACATCTGTAACATGAAACGGGAGGCTTGGATCGCACGCTTGCGCATGCGGGATACTACCGCGGGGGCCCCACCTGAAACACCATTGATTCCAGGCCACATTGATCTCATGACAGGGATGAAAGCCTTGCATATACATTCCTTGTGGTTCACAGATACAGATGGATAATGCTCAAAGAACACAGATAGACATTGCTTTAACCTATAAAAAAAAATAAACTATTGAATGAATTTATAACAATATGTAAATATATAATTTAAAATCAAGACTTACGTTTGAAAGTCAACAGTTGTGTTACTGAAGTAAAGATTAATAAGCTTTGCTAATAGTATAGGATGTGAAGAAGATGAAAGTGTGGGGTAATTTTCACTTAAAAGGAGGATTTTAGCAAACCCTTCTGCTAAAACGGGTTGAACCGATTCGTTTTCATCGGTTTCCATTTTCCCAAAATCGTTTTTTTCAAATCCCGCGTATAACAAATCGATAACTTCAATTTCCAAATCCTCATTTGTGTCATTCAAATCAACCGGATGAATTGTTTTGGATTGTTCTTTGAATTGTGACGACAGATTTTGGTTCATCGATTTGTCGACAGCATCGGGCCCATGCCACGTGGCAAGATCCATCAAAGACTTACTCGCCATGCTACTTACTGGAGATGGACCTTTAATAAACGAAACCCTAAGTTGTTTTACTAATTCTTCGGTTAAATTTCGTTCCAAAATCCCAAAAAGACCCAAACATCTGATCGCAGCTCGTTGAACGTCAAAATGAATGTGTTTCGCCTAGAAAAAAGGTAAAAAGAAACATTAGATTTCATGAAAAATGAATACGTAGACGTGAAAAAGACGAAAGTACCCCTGGGAGAAGTAAAGAGTGGAGAAGTTCAGAAGGTTCGATGGGTTTTCCAAACATCCAACGTAGGGATTTTGTGTGTTCGAGAAGAAGACCAATGACAGAAAGACAATGCATCCATTCCAAAAAATCCGCTGTTCTTTCTCTACAAGGTATAGCAAGATCTGCTATAACGCCTACAATGATTTCTTCGAACTCTCCTTGTGACGCGTGTACTTTTTTAGCAAGCCCAGAAACTGCATCAGCCCAATCACGTTCGCCACCTAGACTAATCCCATCTCCTATAACAACTTTCTCACCATCATCATCTACTTCATGATCAAGAGGGCTTTTTAGTAATTCCAACACAAATACTGCTGCGACTTTTCTGTTTGTAGCGTCAGAGAAATCAAGCATGGAGCCGAGTATGAGAAGTTGTCTTGCTATAAACCGATTAGCTTGTCCTGAAGGAATCAGAAAGTCAGATTGTATGAATTATGAATTATGAAATCAGGGTGTTGAAAAAGATTGTAAATTTTATAAAATTTTCACACCTGCAGCGATATGAGTTTTGATTAATTCAATGTAGTCAGAAACGGATTCTGGAAGAATCTTTTCAAGAAGATCATTGCTATCTGAAGCTTCTGATGCGTATACAGTGGCTTCAGTGCCAGTTGTCATTGCAGCATCAGACCCTTTTGATTGTGCTTCTGTCTGTAGATGTTTGCATAAAGTTCTTAAATACAATGCAACTTCAGCATCCACTTGTTGCACATTTTGCCCTGAGATACACAAAAAGATAACCGAATATTCATTCAAAGAAGGAAAGAAAGGTATAAAAGAAAAAGAAAATGTACACTTATGACTTACCTTCAGTTGTGTTGCTGTTTGATGATATGAATTGGTTGATAGTTTGACCACCATGTAACTTGACTAGACCAGATTTCAATAAAGCCTCCATGACAGACACCCCAATGGATTCATAAGTTTCTACATCAAGAAACTTAAGAAGCTCAATTGGGTTTCCACTGCATGACTTCATAAGCCATTCATCTTTTAGTAACTTAAGACATTCTTTGGTGACAGCTGCAGAACGATCAGCAAGTCCCCTTTGGAGTATAATTGTCCTCTGCTTAATGCTATAGAATTCATAGAATTGAGGGTTAAAGTAGATTAATTTAATAAAAGAGTGTTATATGATTATAGTTTTATAAGTGCATACAAAGTACCTGAGACTCTGAAGAGGGAATTTACTGGCTAAAACACAATAAGCAGCTTTTCTGACAGATTCATTCACATCTAATGTGCAATTGATGATTGCTGTTGATGTTGCATTAGAAGCTGGTAAGGATAGAAGTATGGTTTTGCGAACATCCTAATGTGTTGGGAAAAAGGTGTTTGATTAAGAGATGAAAGAATGATAAGAGTGGAATATAGAAACTAGGGCAAAAAACTTACGTGATTCTGTTCTGAGGGTAATGTTTCGAGTAATAACTCAAGAATGTCGCTATTTTCTGCATCGTTTGCAAAACGGGATAAAGCCCTAACAGAATAGGTGCGGATTACTGGGACTTTATCCCCCACACGAACCTTGATGCAATCGATTACTTCATCCCACAACTCATCACTCACTTCTGCATCGTCTGGCAATCGCATTATGATCTGACAATAAAGATTCCATCAAGTGAGAAATAAATAAAAATTGAGACTAAAACAGAAACAAGTGATGTGGATCCATTACATAAAGTATCAATGCAAAAACAATTCCATTAGTTCATTCTAGTGAATAAGAACAATCACTAACAACAATTGATGGGGACATTCGAATGTCAATGGTATATATATATAGTTTAGTAGAAAAGGTAATAAATACATCAATCCTTCACAAAAATGGGCTATATATGAGTTCTAAATGTCAAAAACTCAAAATGCAATTTTGATATGAATTCTACCACGGTACTAACAGAAACATCATTTCATATTTCTTGAAAAAATATAACTCATCAATTTCCAGATCAAATTTCTCAATTTGGAACTGAAAATAACTTTTTCCAGATTCTCACAGTAAAACCGGACATAAATCGATATAATGACTCTATCACCAAAATATTTGCAACTCTAAAAGCCAATGACAGACCAATATAGTCATAGATTTTCAGTAAAATTAGCTAATAAATGCACATCCATGTATCATTTTCATAACAAGAGTAGACAAGTAACAAGCATAACTCTCAATAACAACAGAACACAAACAAATACCTCCGAAATGATCTGGCAGGCCCTAAATCTGGCAGTTCTGCTGGTAGCAGCGGTACCAGCCATGAGAAGCCGCAAAAACCGTTCGAAAAATTCATCACAGTCCTCGGAATGGTTAGGATCGCGTAGGCAGGCGAAAATAGCAACAAATTGAACTATCCGTTCGACAGAAGCGATACGGCGCTGGGTGGTGAAGATAAGGGTTAGGTTTTTAGAGAAAGCATCGAAGAATTGAGCAAGAGGAACTGAAGAACGGAGAGCAGAAAGGTCTTTGAGCTTGCGGATGTGTGATGCTCGAGATGCTCGAGCGTCGTTAAAAACCTTGGCAATCTTTTGCATCAATTGCTTCTCTTCAGGAATTTCGACGGCCATTGTAGATGCCTCTGAAAGCAAATCTGAGGAATTTTCTCTGTTTCTCTCTCTGATCTGATTTTCGAATTGAAGAGCGGGAAATGAAAAGGCTTGAAAGTTTTATTGGGCCTAAAAGATGCTTCTGAAACTGAAAGCAGCAGATCCGTGGTTTTTAAAATCGATTTTGGGCCCCGTCCGAATCCAAACGAGCGCTTTTCGTTCTGATTTACTCCCTCCGTCAATTTGATATACCACACAAGCAAGACATGAGTTTTTATGTATTGATATTAGAAATTTATTTTAGTGATTTTAGTGTTATCAACGTATTTTAGTATAGATAGATTTGCTATCGAGAAAGGTTGTGTTATGTTTGCTAAATGATATTAGAGGTGTGTGGTGCACACTCAAAATGTTAATATGAACTCGGGAATACGGGGTATGGAGGCAGCACCCTTGGGTGCAGGGTTCCAAGGAGCAGCGCCCTAACGGGGTTTATGAACATCCCCCTACAGGGTCCAAGGGAGATGAATGTTCCAAAAATGGAATCCCCTACTCTAATAAAAGAGTATCGTCACATGTCATCTCCTTAACCCCACATAGATTATGTTCTCGCCTAAAACTTTTATTGTTAAATACCAAAAATACCCTTTGTCCTATTAAAACCCCCTGCTTATGGTTTTCGGTCAAGCTTGTCTATGTAAAAGCTATATGTGATCCCACAAAATCAACAATAAATCTTCCACAAATCAAGCTAATAGCAAGAAATCAGGAGCATATTTTGGAATAAGATCTTTTGTCGTCTTCTAATATATGAGGAGCATAATTTTGAATCAGATACAAACTTATTGATTTCCCAAAACTCTTTCAATTTTCGTCTATCAACTATGATTTCCGAAGGATTCCAGTTAAAAAATTTCAATTTTGAGTTTGATTATCCAAAGATTATTCCTATTTGGAGAAACAAGAATACGATGAAGTGAGCAGGTCCGATTGAAGAAGAGACGACCATCCTTACTGGTTAAGGTAGATTGAAGAAGAGACGACAAGAAACTGTTACTGTTTAGTGTTGTTGACTTAGTTTTTACGCTAATTTCATTTTTTTGGAGTTTGAGTAATCCATAAAACATTTGTAATATTAAACATCGGTTCTTTAAATAATTCGTTCCTTTCATCAGTTGCTTTACTATGGTTCAAAACTTGTAATCTAGGTTTCTGCCACGTATTATATGTTAGAATTGACATCTTTTTCTTCTAATTTGAATGTATATATCTACAGTCGGGAGTGTCAAGTGCAATTATGGTTCTTCCATTTCCATTACAACTTACTTTTTCAGCTTGACTATACAAATGTATCTGCAATCACAACTAAAGAGAATCTCTAGGCGTTTATGGTCACTCATGTTACTTTTAATCTGTACTGAAAGAGGTAATACTCACCTAATATATTTGTAGATCATGAACTCAAGTTTGAGCATCCATTATAGATTTCTCTCTTCTGCCAACATCGGTAGATCACATTCGAGTTTTGTGTGCTTAATCATGGTATGTGTAACTCTAATCTTATTACTTGATGCTTTTAATACGTAGGTGTAACACCTCAAATTTCAAACCAAAATTTTCATTTTTAATTTACCCAAAATATTGTTCATAAACCAAACCAATAGAAAATCACAAGTATCAAGTACAAATCATCACTACGAATATCAAAGTGCCATATAATGCCCAATAACAAAATCTCCCAACGAGCGTGTACAACCAGACATTCGTTTTCCCGCGATCCTCATAAGTACCTGAAACACATTTAATTTAACAACTGTAAGCACAAATCTTTAGTGAGTTCCCCAAGATATCTCATACAGCACAACACATAAACAACTATGGGTTATCAGCAACCCTGGAGACTACATGAAGTCTCAGTGGGCAAACAACACGCCCTATGGGTTATTAGCAACCTTGGAGACTACCCAAAGTCTCAGTCACATGTAAACAACATAACATAATAATAACAATTAGACCCAACTGGTCATCACATATATAGCTATTCGATCACACAGGTAAGAATAAGTGAGGAGACTCACCTAACATTGATGATAGATAAATCTCACACCCGAACTGCCGGAACCAAACTCCACCTAATAACATAATAATTAATCCTAATAAATAATTAAATTCCATAACCCAACTCACAAGTCCATTCCCACAGCTATGCTCCTTAAGGGAAAAAGACCATTTTGTCGCTTCCATCGTCCAAAACCATTAAGATTTGACCAAAAGTCAAAAGTTAGCAAGAGTCAACTGCTCAGCGCGTACGCTAGACGTACACTCCCTACGCATCGCGTACTCGAAGAACAAGGTGAGTCGGGATCGGGCCTGGCTACGTTGGGCGTAGCCAGAAGTACGTGGGGCATACACTGTCTAATCCCAGAAGTCACTCCATAACGTCTTAATCATTAAGACATGCAACACATACATAGACTTGACCTCAATATAATGTCTTACTCCATAAAGCCCATAACTTGAAGCCTTTGCATGGCTGAAATGAGCTTAAACCTTAAAACCCTAACTTAAACCATACTCAAAACCACCACACTCTTTCATGGAAAGAAAGGGACCTTCAAGAAAGTATGTTTATGATTCTAGATGACCTAAAACACATGAAAGGACAATCAACATGCTATGACGTACACCATACTCACAAAGATCAATACTTGGGACAAAAAGGTCATAAATTGTAACATCCTGGTTCGGATCGTCTGAGATTAGGGTTTGTGGGCTGCAACCCGGGCATGAGGAAGTCTTGGGGCTGCGACGAGTTGAAGCGTAGGGCTTCTCGTCACCTTTCCATGGATATGAGATTCATGGGAAACGAACTTATAACAAGGGAGTTATGACAGTTTGAAGATTGGGCAAGATAACTCCTTTAATTGGAAAAGGTGGCAGCGGAGTACGTTGGGCGTACGTGTGTGTACGCTTAGCGTACTCATGTGCGTGATTTTTAAGCGGAGCCACCTAGTACGCTGGGCGTACCAGAGGGTACGCTGGACGTACTAGGAACAAAGTGGAAACCCCTAACTTTGGATGTGTCCCTACATAAAGAATGAGATGGCCTCATTCCTGGCCACCATCCTCAGTCAATAAACCCTCTAAAACCCTAATCCTTCGTTCATGGAGCTTGTGAGTGCATTTGAGAGCCTTAAGTGATATTGGTGTGTTCTTGGAGTAAAGAAGGAGCTTTGGAGAAGAAGCAGTGAGAAGTCCAGGCCTTGGATCTGAGCATATCTGAGTTGGAAGCTTTATATAGAGGTATAAAGCTTCAATTTTTCTCACTCTTTTGTTTTGAGCATTATATTAGAGTATTTTAGGGTTTTTTGTCCCAAAAGGTGGAGACTTTATGATATATTGAGCTCCAGAGACTTTGATAAACCCTTTCAGTGTATTTAGTGGTGTTGTGTCATAAAAATCAGGACTTGGACGTTGGGATCAAGCCATGCATGAGATATGAGCTTTTTGAGATAAGAGAGTGGTTGTTTTGTGGTTTGTGACCATATCAGCCATGCAAAGGCTCACAGTCACTGACTTTATGGAGTAAGAGCTATTAGGGAGTCCAGATCTAGGATATGAGCCAAGGTCTTAACTGATTAAGACCAAAAGAGTAGAAAGAGTGAAGTTGGGAAGTACGCTCAGCATAATTCCAGTACGCCCCGCGTACTGCCCAAGTGTCCCCGATGGCCAATATGGATTCGTGAGTACGCTGAGCATACCAAGGGAGGTACGCCCCGCGTAACCTCACTGTGGACTTTTGGGCTAAGTCTCATTTTGGGCCTTGAGTGTTGGGCCTGGAGTTTAAGCTTGTTGCAATAGAGTCTTGGACCAGAGGATTATATATATGTGCTTTGGGCCCTTGAGTTGGGCTTGCCATTAGATGTGAGAGAGTTGGGCCTCGGGAGAGCCCATTTATTATTGGGCTTTAGTGGGTCCAATAGGTTTTAGGTCATTGATGGGCTGGTTAGTGGACTACCTTTAGACCTAATGAGTGAGAGTTTAGACTTAGTTCCTAATTGGGATAATTGTGGGTTTGGCACAGAGTTAGTGGCCGGTGCGTAGCAACAGCTTTTATAGGGGTTGTTCATCATCCGAGTTGAGTCTTCTCACTATACTTTACCTTGAGTGGTAACTTTTGTGTGATCGGAGGGTCTTATGTTCTTATATTGAGTATTGTAATATCCTGCATTATGTCTTTGTGATTTATGTTGTGTATTATTCTGAGCTTTACTGAGTTAGGACCGCAGGGTCCACTTGAGTTGTGGGACTGGAGGGTCCCACTGAGACACATTGACCGGAGGGTCTTATTGAGCTATAGCCATGAGAGGCTAATGAGATATGTATGGTATTTTGGGGAACTCACTAAGCTTCGTGCTTACAGTGTTATGTGATATGTGTTTTAGGTTCTTCTCAGGATCGCAGGAGGGCGCCGGTTCGATTGTACACACCAGAGAAAGAGTTATGTTTTGAGGATCCTGGATTATTAATCAAACAATTATGGAGTTGCGTTTTGTAAATTAAATAAATGGGATTTTGTGAAATGTGTCATGAGAATTATGTGATTTTAAATTGAAAATTTTGTTTGAAAATTTACGGTGTTACAAGTTGGTATCAGAGCCTTGGTTTGAGGGATTCGGATGCACCTTCGGGTATATCTGGACTCAAACTGAGGATTTGAGAAAAAATTTCAAAAAAAATGATTTTTTTTCTAAAACGAGCAAGAGTTTCTAAGAGAAACGAGAAGGGGCAGTGTGTACAATCAGCCAGAGCCCGAATGGTGATTTCCCAAAATACCCTTACTTATTTGTGTTATGAGTTATTGAGATATTAGTGATGCATGCTAGAAGATAGGCTACGTATTTCATATATTAGGGCTAGAGTTGCCTGATTTGTGATGCATTAGCCTATGAATTTTGCTATCTGTGATGTGTTTCGAGTATGTGCGGAGTAAGAGTATCCACCAGGAATCTTTTAGAGAGAGAAGAGAGAGCTAGCTTTGAGTTAGAGGAGTAAGTAATCTAGGAGAGATACCTAGATGAGCAG